AGAGCCCGGGCCCCAGCTGGCGCCGAGCCCCATTGCCCCGCGCCGGCCGGGGCTCCCGTGCGCTGCGAGCGGCGAAGCTGGTCGGCAGCTGCCTGGCTCCGCGAGAGCTGCCGGCCTGCGGGGCTTCAGTGCTCTTGGTGGTAAAGTGTTTTTAAAATGTTAAGAGGAGAGGACTATTTTCCAAACAGGCAGTCTGAGATCAGCTGGATCTCTTTCCAGAGTCCATGTTTTAATTTTTTTTTCCTTTTTTTGGTGAGAGCCAGCGATCGTAAGAATAAAGCGGTCGGATGATCCTCGCAGTTTACTGCTGTGAACTCTCCTTGCCTGTGTATTTCTAAAGGTAACAATTGTAGACGCTGAGACGTCTGCACTTTGGACAAAATAAATGATGTAAGAGTAATAACAGGATGTAGCCATAACAAACCCACCAAATTTCCATAAATAAAGCCTCACCCATTTAATCACTAATTATTATTCCAATTCTGATCTTCAGTTACTCAAAATGAACCGTTAAAAAAAAATGATTTGTTAGTCTAAAGCAATGTTAAAACATGTGTCCAAAAGTAATACACTGGTTTACTGTGGAACAATCCATCTGTTATTTCAAGAAAATTAGGACAGGAAAAATAAACCTTATCCAGTGAAATCAGCCATATGAGAGAAGAAACCTTTTGAAACTCCCTCCCAGAAATCCCAACCTGAGTGCTGAAGGAGGCCAACAAGCATTAATGAGCAGGATGGCAGCCTGCACCGGATTCCTGCCCCTGTAATGCAGCAGAATTACAAAATGGACGGGCATGAAAGAAATTGCAGATTCATTACAGATATCTGGTGCTTGGTGCCTAAAAATTTAGTTTAAGCGGCTTCTCATTCTGCATATAGAAGTGAATCAACAGTAGAAGCACTTTCAACCTGCCTGAAGATTTTTAGCATCATCTCAATTTTTCTAGAAATTAAAATCTTTCCAGGCTAATCATTTTTTGTTCTTGGATTTTATTTACTTTTTTAAGCAAAACTTTATATGTTTCAAATTTGTCAAATGACTGGACAAAGCAGTGTTAAAAATTCAACTGCACTAATTACTAGCTGAGCAGCATAAAAACCTCTGAATAAATGTCAGTCTAGGAGATAAGCTCTTATCTTAATCTAATGACTCCACAGACTTAATTTGTCAAGCCAGCCTAGTTGATGAAAAACAGGTTTCTATTCTCCAGCGTTAGCAGCCACATCTTTCCAAATCTTTGAAGTTGGATAGTAATACCATCAGTGTCATCCTGCAAAAATCTTGTGACCAAGCCAATTTCATTCCTATTGTCCTGTTATACTAATTAAAGTTGTTTTACCCCTATTGGTCTGTAATAAGTGAAAATGAAGCCAATTTATTTTTACATTTGTTACATTTTAGGACAACCACTCTTACCCCTCCTTTTCCCCCTCTCTCAACAATGTGTTAATATTTGCAATGTTCTTCTGCTTATCAGAAAGCGAGGCTTTTTAGCGGGCCTCCGCAGACAGCATAGTGCTATCCCAGGAAAATTC